AGGAGAAGTGGAGCGGCCGCTGCGCTGGGAGAGGGAGTCTGAGCGGCACATGTCAGCGCGCCGCCGGCAGCCCAGACCAGCCCAGCCCAGGAATTCTGTCAAAATTGGGGGCACCGCTTTTTGGCCCCCCCAAATCTTGGCGCCCTAGGCAACCGCCTAGTTTGCCTTAATGGTAGCACCGGCCCTGGCTGGGGCAGGGGCACTACAAGCAATGGGAGCCTGGCTGCGAGGACAGGGCTCAGTCCCAAACCAACTCTCAAAGTGCTGAAAACTGGATAGCCCTGTCCCGCCTCTTCCCCCCAGGCCTGATCTCCTGCTCTGCCTCCTCTCTCCCTACAGTTGCTTGCTCCCCCCTCCCCTAGGACTTACCTGCCGCCTGCAGAGCTGGGCTGGGAGGAGCTGCCGCAGAGCCCGCCCAATCTGGGCACAGCAGTTGGGCTCTGGCTCAGAAAAAGACAGTCCCTGGAGCGAGGGGCCAGGGGCAATCGTGGAAGAGCAGGCGGCGGGGGGGAGGGGTGCTGGACCCCAAAGCAAGGGGCTGGGAGCAATTAGGGCATAGCAGGGCGGAGCGGGGGTGTCGGTCGCTGGAGCGAGGGGTTGAAGCAGAAGAAATAGGGGCACAGTGGGTTGGACTGTCCCCAGAGCCAGAGGCTGGAGCCGAGGATGTGGGAGCCAGTTCTCTCTGTCAGCAGCTGCTGCTCTTCCTGGCCTCTCAGCGGGGAGGCGGATTGTGGTTACTCTGGTAAGCAGACTTTTAGCGTCTGGTCAGCAGTACTGACTGGACACTGACAGGTCCCCTTTTTGACCGGACACCTGGCAACCCTACCCAGCAAAAGGAGTGAGGGGAGGGAGGAAGGGTCAGTCCACCTGACTCCAGAGCCCCAAGGTTTCAGGAAGGGTTGGGAGGCAGGGGCCACCGGGAGCGCAGCGGGTGGAGCCAGCAGGGCACAGACGTGACCAAAGGTCTGGGCTTCATCACCACCCCGGAAACTCACCCACATCCTGGAGCAGCTGGTTCTCCACTTGCATTCTCTCAAGGGCACTGGCCATCTCCATGTCTGCAGGAGATGGGAAACATCACCAGTGGTCTCGGCCATGTCACAGCAGCTGTGTTGAGAAACACTGGGGAGACAGGAGCCACCAGGCACCAGATCCCCTTATCTCTACCCTTGCCCTGGGCACACGGCCCCGCAGTCTTTGCAGTGCCCAGAGCCACTGTCTACTGGGAGCAGGCTGGACCTTCTGACTGTCCTTAGCTCACCCGCAAGGGCAGGGCCAGCTCATAGCAGTCTTGTTTCCCCCCCAAGCCTGTGACACAGTCCCTCCTGGCTGTCTGTAACACTCACTCTGCAGCAACCAGGAAAACTCCCTCTAGCCCCACCCTGGAGGGGTGAGGGGTCTAGTCAGCGGAGACACAGGCCATTCTCAGCCTGGCCAGCCTTGGGGCCCAGCCTGGTGGGAAGCGGCACTATCCCTAGGCAGGGGGAGGGGGAAGATAGTACTTTCTTTGTATTCCAGTAGTGCTTCGGAGCCCATCATGGCCCAGGACCCCACTGTGCTGGGCATTTGGCATTATTTATTAGGTGTATTATGGTGTCCCAGGCTCTAGCCCAGGACCCCCTGGTGCTAGGCGCTGTACAAACCTAGAGCAGACAGATGGTCCCTGTTGCACAGAGTTCACAATCTGTATAAGACAAGGTCAAGAGATGGGGACAGAGACATAGATGGGGAGGTACAAGGAAATAGTGGGATGATATTGGTCAGCCCAACAGGCCGTGGGCTCAGCGCATCAGCTGCCTGACTGTTGTCATGCTTTCTGTAGGCATTGCAGCAGAGGAGCGTTCTGCAGAGGGATGCAAAGGAGGATAATGCAGTGGCTTTGTGGGTGTTTATGGGGAGATCCTCCCAGGCATGGGGGGCAGCAAAGGAGAGAGCATGGAGGGCCTTGTTCGCCAGTGTACCAAGCAGGTGCTAGAAACTACGTCCTGGGCAATCAGGGGCAGAGATGCCCTCTTAACAGAGGATGGGAGACGTCCATGCAAATGCGAGTGAAGGGAGGGAGGTACTTACATCGGACAACACCAAGTGTGAGGAGCAGCAGGTTCAGCAGCACAGAGACTCCCAGGACAGTCGCGCAGGCCAAAATCCACCGCTGGCCCCGTCTCCACTCCCACTCTAGGGGGTTGGGAAATCAACATGGAAACAGCACATTGCCCTGACAGCCAGAGTATCCGTCAGAGGGCACAGCCCTCTCCAGTAATGAATCCCCCACTCCTGGGAGCACAATATTCACTCTATGGATGGGAAACTGAGGCACAGAGTGGCAAACAGATGGACCACGTGGTAGAAGTAGGAACCCAGAAGTCCTGACTCCCAGCTCCCCTGCTACCATTTCTAGCCACTCTAACCACTGGACCCCACTTCCCTCCCAGAGCAGGGGATGGAATCCCAGTAGTCCTGACTCCCAACCCCGCCCCCACCCACTAGATCACAGTCTCCTCCCAGAGCCAGGAACAGAACCCAGCACATCTGACTCTCCTGCCAGCCAGTCCCAAACCCATTACTTGGAGCCCGAGCCTCCTGCTGCTCCATCTGCCTCCTCCTTGCGCCAAGAGCCGGGTCAACAGCCTCATATTCGTTCTCCTCTTCAGTGTACACATCGCTGACAACTAGAGAGGGAAGTACAGGGTGACAGCTCTCCCACCAGCTCCATCAGCACCAACAGCCCCCCCGTGGCTCTGTCAGTGTCCCCGGCACCGCACTGGGCAAGCACAGACTGCAAGGGGACAGAGCACCCTACTGAACCCCACCCTCTTCCTGCAGCACAGTACCCTCTAGCACTGCATAAGGGAAAGCACCCCCTTTTGAGTGCTGTCCCACTCCCTGCAGCACCCTAGGTGTTCCTGTGAGGGCTCCTTACAGGTACTGACCAGGCCCAATGCTCCTTAATCAGAGACAGAGGGCCGGCTGCTCCATACCTGCCTTCTCCCTTGGCTCAGAACCCCACGGCTCCTCTTGTCCTGGTTCAATGATGTTGATGTTGCTGTATGTTGCCTTGCAGGCCATGGGTCCAGACTGTGCAGCTGGGAGTCCCGTGTGGTCACAGCCCTGCCAACTGACTGGGCTGCTCACAAGTGTTTGCCAGCTGATAAGGCCTCCAGGAGGGAGGGAGAAATGCAGCAGGGGACCTAAAGAGGCAGTCCTTTGATGGGAACGCTGCGGAGCTCAGGCACTCCTCCCAGCTGGGGCTGGAGGGCCAGTCTGTGCAGCCTGTGCCTGCTCCTAGATTCACAGAGTCCAAGGCCAGAGGAACCACTGATCATCTGACCTCCTGTATAACACAAGCCAAGAACAGCCCCAAAATAATCCCTAGAGCAGAGCTTTTAGAAAAACATCCAGACTTGATTTAAAACTTGTCAGTGATGGAGAATCCACCCTCACCCTTGGTAAATTGTTCTGATGGTTAATTACCCTCACTGTCAAAAAGTGTACCCCTTATTTCCAGTCTGAATTTGTGTAGCTTCAACTTCCAGCCATTGGATGCCTTTCTTTCGTAGAGTCTAAGACTGGAAGGGACCTTGAGAGATCATCGAGTCCAGTCCCCTGCTCTCATGGCAGGACCAAATACTGTCTAGATCAGGGGTCGGCAACGTTTGGCACACGGCTCGCCAGGGTAAGCACCCTAGTGGGCCGGGCCAGTTTATTTACCTGCTGACGCTGCAAGTTCGGCCGATTGCGGCCCCCACTGGCCGCGGTTCGCTGTCCCGGGCCAATGGGGGCGGCAGGAAGCCGCGGCCAGCACATCCCTCGCCCATGCCGCTTCTCGCTGCCCCCATTGGCCTGGGACGGCGAACCGCAGCCAGTGGGGGCCGCGATCGGCCGAACCTGCCGTGTCAGCAGGTAAATAAACTGGCCCGGCCCGGTGATTACCCTGGCGAGCCGTGTGCCAAACATTGCCGTCCCCTGGTCTAGACCATCCCAGATAGACATTTATCTAACCTACTCTTAAATATCTCCAGAGATGGAGATTCCACAACCTCCCTAGGCAATTTATTCCAGTGTTTAACTACCCTGACAGTTAGGAACTTTTTCCTAATGTCCAACCTAAACCTCCCTTGCTGCAGTTTAAGCCCATTGCTTCTTGTTCTATCCTTAGAGGCTAAGCTGAACAAGTTTTTTCCCCTCCTCCTTATGACACCCTTTTAGATACCTGAAAACTGCTATCATGTCCCCTCTCAGTCTTCTCTTTTCCAAAAGAAACAAACCCAATTCTTTCAGCCTTCCTTCATAGGTCATGTTCTCAAGATCTTTAATCATTCTTGTTGCTCTTCTCTGGACCCTTTTCAATTTCTCCACATCTTTCTTGAAATGCAGTGCCCAGAACTGGACACAATACTCCAGTTGAGGCCTAAACCAGCACAGAGTTGTGCAGAAGAATGACTTCGTGTCTTGCTCACAACACACCTGTTAATGCATCCCAGAATCATGTTTGCTTTTTTTGCAACAGCATCACACTGTTGACTCATCACACTGTTGACACTATAACCCCTAGATCCCTTTCTGCCATACTCCTTCCTAGACAGTCTCTTCCCATTCTGTATGTGTGAAACTGATTGTTCCTTCCTAAGTGGAGCACTTTGCATTTGTCTTTGTTAAACTTCATCCTTTGTTAGATTGAAGAGCCCATTATTAAATATGTGTTCCTCACATAGGTACTTATAGACGGTAGTCAAGTCACCCCTTAATCTTCTGTTTTTTAAGGTAAATCAATTGAGTTCCTTGAGTCTATAAGGCAGGTTTTCTTATTCTTTAATCATTCTTGTGGCTCTTCTCGGACCCTCTCCAATATATACTGTGACAAAGCTCTGTCCTTGTGTCCTTGGGTCCCGCATTTTCTGGCAGATTTCACTAGCCTCAGAGGCTCACCATGACCCTCCACATAGCCCCCCTCTCTCTCTAGAGGCAAGGGTCACAGTCTACTGAGCCATTTTCATCATAAGCCAGCAAGGGAGGTGAGGAGAAGCTACCCTCCCTTGCACAGTCTCTGTTGTTTCCCAGTCTCAGTGGGGCAAAAGGGGGAGCCCAGGCCCACCCTCTACTCCAGGCTCCAGCCCAGAGACCCTAATAGTATCAGCTATGGTAGCTGACTTTTTAGGAAGAGGACACATACAATTCCCTGGGCCACTTCCCCACAGCAGCCCCCACTTCCTCAAGATCCACTTCACCCTTACCTCAGGGCCTCCTTCCTTGTGCCTGATATGGTTTGTACTGCTCCATCTCTCCAACAGCACAGCTTTCTCCTACAGCTCAACACACACCTCACTGACTAACTGGGAGGCTTTTCACTAGTTCCAGCCAGCCCTTGGTTGGCTTCAGGTGTCCCAATCAACCTAGCTGTCTCCACTGCTTTCTAGAAGGATCTTAATTGGCCCCAGGTGTCTTGATTAACCTCGAGCAACTGCCATTTGGTTACCATGGTACCAGGGATTTGTTTAGCCTGGGGCTAACATAACTGTTCCTCACTACTTTACTATAGCCATCTGGCCTTGCCTTGTCACAATACATATCCTTCCTGAATCGGGAACACCAGAACTGGACACAGCACCGTAGCAGAAGTCATACCAGTGGCAAATACAGAGGTAAAATAACCTCTCTACTCCTACTAAAGATTCCCCTGTGTATGCATTAGCCCAAGGGTGGCCAACCTGAGCCTGAGAAGGAGCCAGAATTTACCAGTGTACATTGCCAAAGAGCCACAATAATACATCAGCAGCAACACACCAGTCCCCCCCGCGCCCCGCTCCCAGCAGCCCCACCGATCAGCGCCTCCCCCCACCTCCCAATCAGCTATTTCATGGCGTGCAGGAGGCTCTGGGGGGCGGGGACGAGGGAGAAGCGAGGGCACGGCAGGCTCAGGGAAGAGGGTAGGAAGGGGTGGAGTGGGGTTGAGCCAACAGTTGAGCAGTGAGCACCCCCTGGCACACTGGAATGTTGGCGCCTGTAGCTCCAGCCCCAGAGTTGGTGCCTATACAAGGATCCGCCTATTAACTTCTGAAGAGTTGCATGTGGCTCCGGAGCCACAGGTTGGCCACCCCTGCCTTAGCCCTTTTGGCCACAGCATCACACGGGGAGCACATGCTCAGCTGATTATCCACCACAACCCACAAATCTTGTTCAAAGTCACTACTTCCCAGAGTAGAGTCCCCCATCCTGTGAGTATGCCTGGTATTCTTTGTTCCTAGATGTATACTGTGACACTTTGTCTCATATTCTTCATAGAAATGTTGTTATGATATGACTATGGCATAACTATGATAAGTCATGTGAGATATCATTGAAAAAGTTATGATTTACTAAATATGATTATCCTAATTGTATGCATGTATCATTTTTTGTGTCTGAAGTTAGGAATATTATCTATGCATCTATTACAAATGTGTTTGCACCTTGGGAACGCCCACTAGGCAGAATGCAATCTGTCTAGATGGCTGGCTGGGAAGGGCCATTAGGAAGAACAATAGGTCTTAGAAGATGCTTATCTTCCATCGGGGAGCCTTCCTGAGGATGCTACAAACAGCCTCCGAGTCATGGCTGCTATGGCCCTACAGAGACATGCGACCAAGTCACCTGGTATTGGACTCCATCATGGAATACTAGTGTTTTCTCACTGACCGAGCGTGGGAATCAAACTGGGAGACAAAAGGTTCCCGCCATATGCTAATACTATTTAAGGCAGGGGAGTGACATCATCGTGGTTCGTTCTTCACTGACTCCCCGCCCAAGAAAGAAGACTGCTGGAAACACCTGAGAAACAAAAAATTGAACATGGGGAGAAGGGCTGAACCCAGGCTAGAGGGTTTTCTAGCCTGTGAAAGGAATACTTGGAGTTTTAAGCTGCAAGTGTAGCTTGCCCTCAAGAATCTCTGCAAACTGCCTAAAACAATATTTAGGGTGAGAATTTGCTACTTATGTCTAATTTCTTTAGTATATTAAGCTTAGATTGCATTTTGTTTTATTTGCTAGGTAATCTGCTTTGATCTGTGGGCTATCCTATATAATCACTTAAAATCTATCTTTTGCAGTTAATAAACTTGTTTTTGTTGTGTCTAAAACCAGTGTGTGGAAATTTTAACTGGGGGTCAGAAAGCTGTTGCGTATCTTCCTCCACATTGAGGGAGGGGGTGAATTTCATGAGCTTACGCTGTACAGTTCCCTGTGCAGTACAAGATGGTATAATGTTGGGTTTACATTCCAAAGGGGGCTGCCATTCCTATTCTCCTAGACAGAACCTGGAATTCAACTCTTCTCCATGGGAACAGAGAGATGATCCCCCAGCAAGCAAGGCCAGTCCCTGCCCTCTCTATGGAGATGGGGGTGCCTGGGGATTGATGCCTTGCACTCGGCCAGCTAGGAGGGTGGTGGCTGGGATCTGCCCTCCATGCTCCGGTCTGAACTATTTCGTCTTGCAGAAAGTCCAGAGGCAGCACCAGAGATGAACTGGGAACAAGAGGAAGGAGCCCAGGGGTGGTCTGGTGTAGCAGAGAGCCTGGCAAAGCCCTACATGCTTTGGAGTGAAAGGAGAATTTGAAAGCATCTGGGGGTGCCAAGTGCAGAGGGCAAGACAGGATGGCGGAGTGCATGGGAGCCGGGATGGGACATAGGTAGTGAGCAGAGCACTGGGCATTGTAGGGAAGCACATAACTCACAGGTGAGCCCTCAAGCCACAGGGAGCATGTGGGACGCACATGGCAGTTGGAGTGTTCAGGCCAAGAAGAGCGCCCAGGGAGGCAGGATGGGTGTTCAAGGCAGACAGGGCATCACAGGAGTGGCATGCATGCAGAGGATCTGGCTTTCAATCACAAGTGCCCAGCCTGGCCCTTGCAATGAGCTGCCGCCATCTCCTGTACAGAGGGGTATGGACTATAAACTGCTAAGTCATTGCAACCACAGTAAGCTGTGCTGCTGGGCCTGGGGCACAAAGCCCTGCATGAGACACCATGCGGGCCCATCCACACGCCATGCAGGTGTGCAGCTCGGAAAGGCACTTACCCTGGAGGACAACAGCTGGGGCAGTGCCCAGACAGGGCTGCTCCCGGTGGGGGTGTTACGGAGTGTGGGGGAGTCAGGGCCCTGCACCCCTCTTCCTGAGATTCACCATGACTCTCAGCCAGCCAGTAAAACAGGTTTATTAGATGACAGGAACACAGTCCCAAGCAAAGTGTGTAGGCACAACCAGAACCTCTCAATCAAGTCCT